GCCACAATATCGGAATTTCATCAAGTCGGGTGCGAGTGCGTCGGTGATCGTTTTTAGGGCAGTGGGCTTGGCGGCTGGCGCGCCGCCCACGCGAGTCAGCCACTCCGTGAGAAAGGAAGGGCCATTGCAGTTGCTCAAGCGTTTCCTTACCTGCACCCACAAACCCATGCTGTAAGCACTCTCTGCCAAAACGATGCTGGTAGAACATGGCATACAGTATACATACACAAGTCGTGCAATGGGGCTTTCGTTGATGCAACGCGATGGCTGGTTACAACCACTGTCAGCATTTCCACATGTCTTGAGAGATTCACATGTGCATGACTGGGGCCAGCAAGGCGGTGCAACAAGAGTCGGGGAACGCACGTTTGAACCAGGGAATTCCATGTTTTCACCGTACTATGGCTATGCTCGCATGCAACGCCCTGATTTAAGTGTGCCCCAACGGGGCGCTAGTACCACGCAATATGCTGTCATGTCGCACGCAATATGCTGGCACGGCGGGCGGAGTGGCAGCGGGGGGAGAGTGGCTGTTCTATGGATAGCGGCTGGCGAATGACCACTTGACGAGGCGAGCGAGGCGGCAATGTCAGCGACAATGACATGATAAGACATATACCACAGGGTGTGCCGTGCCCTTGCAGAGCGGGGTGAAGCCTTTCTTTGCACAGCATTGCGACAGTTAGCGCTGGGCACCTAATGTCCGTTCCATGGTGCACGCACTGCTGCCGATTTCGTCTAAAAACAAACCCCGGTGTATACCTCGGTGCATACAATGTGCAGAACAATACAACAGATAGTTGGAAATCCTCATTGTATTACACGACTTGTAAACAACCAGGAAAACAACGAGAAACAACGGACTGTTGTTTACAACGGGAAACAACAGGGGTCTGTGTTGTATACATCCTGCCCTGCGGTTGGGCGGTGCATGCACTTTCATGGCGCTTATACGGCTGCTGTGCTGCTGGTGCCAACCAGGCTTGAAGCCTGGTAATGCCACCCTGTCATGGTGCACCTGAGATTATATGAAGCTTGCCATCATCCCTGCCATGTTCAATGTTGCAGACCCACTTGTGGCTGTGCAGGAAGTTGCAAAATGCGTATAGTGTGGTGGAAGGGGGCTAAACAAGCAAGTGGTCTGCACAAAACACCTTGCGTGTTGCGAGCACGTGCAGCCCTATGCACGTTAAGGACCATGCCAACGACCATCATGCAACAAACGTGTGAAGGATGGAGGTACACAACACCGGCACGCCAGTACTCGCCCCTAGCTACCTCAGCAACACTACTGGCTGCCACCCTTTGTTCATACCACGCCTGCGACCTGAAGCCGCTTGACGACTCCATCAACGGTTGCAGCACAGCTTCCGCTGCTGCTGCTGCTGCTGCTGCTATCCTTGCATGGGAGACATCAAAGGGTTGACGCAGTGGGTACGACGGTTGCACTCCTCGAGGTGGAGGGCCCGCCACAGTTTTGTTGCCGGCCTGTGTCAGATTGCACGGGGCAAGAACCAGCACTGAGCTTGTTGGCAAATGCTGACAAAGATGACGCGTGTGCGAGTGGATGCCGCGCACGATGACGTGCAGTCACGCAGCATGCCGCTGCCAGGCCTCAGTTCCACATATGGTGCTGCTGCTGCGCGCAGAGATGCCGTGCAAAGTCCCCAGGCTGCGATTTGATTGTTGGTGCCGCAGCGTGCTGCTGTGCTTCCCACGCACAGGCGGCAACGAACCATACTTGGCCACCAAAGTGATCCTGCTTAAACACAGGCAGCAGCGCTCACCTGAACCAATACGTGCTCCGTTGGCCCGCGGCTTGCTAAAACCCCACAAGCAGTCGTCGTCTGCCAAAGTGGATTGGACAAAGCACGCAGCAGGCGTGGATGGGGATGCAGTTGGACGGTGGCGCGTGCAGTATTTGATTTGCAGTCAGATATGTGCGCAAGCAAAGCAGCCCGCTGCCAACATCTGTGTCCACTTGCACATGATGCCCCGGCTGTGCGTTGCTCTGGCAAATAGCCCACAGGCTGCCGCTGAGCGGTTGGCGCTGCCGCAGCTGTGCTTCGCCTCTGCGTTCTGCACCTAGCCCTCCCGAATCCTGCTCCTCGCCAACACGCTCGCACACAATGTACTGCTCACCTTTGCTGGCGCGTGCGTCACAGCGGCCCACAGGTCCGTGATATGCTCAACGTTCAGCTCTGCCGCACGTGACTGGGACACACATAATCACTTGGTTGAAGGCAGTTGTGGGTGAGGGTCGTACCTGTGAAGCTGCACACGCGCGCAAGGCGGGCGCGTGCACAACTGGTGCTGCCTCATCTCCATCCCACTGCGCATCATGCCGCCGCTGTGCGTTGCTCTGGCACACGTAACCCAAAGGCTGCCGCTGAGCGGTTGGTGCTGTCGCACACAGCTGCCCTTCGAGCGCGCGTTCTGCACACAGCCACCCCCAATCATCCTCCTCGCAGATGCGCGCGTGCGCTGCGCCGCCCACCTTTGCTGGCGAGTGCATCACAGCAGCCCGCGGCTTCATGGTGCTCCCAGCATCTCAGCCCTGGCACATGTGACGGGGGCACGCAAAAGCGCGACGGTTAACGGCAGTTGCGGCTGAGGGTGTATGTCCCAGGGTATACGCGGGCACAATGCAGCCTGCCAAGCCTCCGTCACACTGCGCATCATGCCGTAGCTGTGCTTTGATCTCACACACATAATTTACAGGCTGGCGTGGCGCCTGGCAGCTGCCCTATGCCTGTGCGTTCTGCACAGCCCTCCTCAATCCTGCTCCTGGCCGTTGTGCATGCGCCGCACCACTCACCTTGTAGGTAAGCATGCATCACGTGGTCGAATAGGCTGATACAAAACTGAACTCAGATCCTGCTTCTGGCCTGCGTGATTGACGCACAGGAGGTCGCAACAGTCATTTGCAGTCGCCGCTGTGGGGCGTAGGCTGCTGCCGTATCTGCGCGGGATGTGCGCGTCACAACCAGCAAGACCAACACACGAGCAAGCCGTGAGGTCGCACCCAGGTCCAGCACAACACATAGTCTTGTTGTGTGCCAGGTGACACCCACATGTCCTGCTGTTGCCTGGTGCATGCCTGTTGTTGATGCGGTAACGGCGCACCGACAACGCGCTTGCTGAGTGCTGCAACAGAGATGCTGTCTGAAGCGCCGCCATTGGAGAATCGGCAATCACATTCTACCTTACGTGCCTGATGAGCGATCATCGTGGTGAGCAGCCGCGCCGGGCAGTCCGTTGCTGCGGGATCAGCCAACCGCAGTGATTGACGAATTAGCAGCCAGCTCCATTGGACAAAAATATAGTGGCAATCAATCTCTCGCCGCTGATCGCGCGAAGGACGCCCCGAGCGTGGCATCGACAACAAATGTTGAAGTAGATCTGAAGCAAGCACGGAGTACGGACAATGCAAAGTCAGTGGGATGCTGAATGCATACGATAAGGTAGTGCCTCAACAAGTAGCTGATTGGGCAGAGGGAAAGCACAAAGCAGCACCTGAGTACCGCACCGTAGCAGCGGTGCTGCCGCCGCAACACGAGCATGTAAAGTATGTCGAAGTACAGGAGTATTGAAATTGTTGTTTTTATATTGTCTACATCAACCAGCAGCCTGCACCAGGTTGCAGAACACGGCTGTGTGTGTTGCACTGGGTCAAACGGTCAACTCATCAACCTACAGTCAGCGCACCAGCACCATTCGTGGCAGCCGCACGAGGCTTCACCGCATGTCAGTGCTGCTCATCATGCTCCTAGCAACTCAAAATTTTGGTGCCAAGGGCCTAACCAGGACACGCTGTTTACATGGACACCCATGTTGTTATACATGGTAGTTGTTTCACTGGGAAAAACAACGGAAAAACATGGAGAGGTTTTCTTGAGACGTTGAGGCACGGCCAGTGCAGCATGGAGTGGGGGATGGGACCTGTGTGCGTTGAGCTGGGCTCTACGAGTCCACTATGTTGGAGCAAAACGACAGCAGTGGCTGTTGCGCTTGGTGCATCGCCACCCTCTGGCGCCTAAAAAACCCTCTGGCACCTGTCAGCCAGCAGCCGGACTAATTTTGTAAGCGAGTCGCAGTGTCTGCTGGCCCCTGATCGCGTCTGCAAAGTAAGCCACCATCGGGGTGTGATTTTGGTTGAGAGAACCGGTAACAGTTGTCAATGTACTTGCTGCGACTCGTTGGTTGGGTCGAAGGTCGCTTTTTTGGGCTGCGAGCGGGTCACGCCGTCCAAAGCGCCCGCCAGCCGGAACACTTCCACCGGTCATCGCAGTTGGGGTTGCTTGGCCGCTGATTGTTCTACCGTATATGAACGTTCGCCATACCTCGTACGAAACGGCGTTGCTGGTTTCTGCGCAGCCCCAAAGGTAGCGCGAGTATTTACAGCAGCTCCACGATGGGTCTCAAGCGGCAGCTCGACGTAGGGGCTGCTGATTCTGTAGAGAGTGACGACACATGTTGGAGTAGCGACGGGGAGGCTTGTCGCGGCAAGGTGGGGCATGCAATCCTTGGCTGGTCCCACTCCCTTTTCAGGAATTGCTGGTTTGAATCAGTACTGTTTTGGTGCGCCTAGTCGTTTCTTGCGTGAAGCCGGCCTGCCCCGAGGCTTTTTGGTGCTGTCCCTCGCGCAGGCACCCAGAATCGCCGAGATTGGCTGCCATAGCGAACTGGCTTCCGCACATCCGCTTTGGCACTACGAGAAACTGCGCAGCGGCGTACAGCATGGGGCCAGCGGTGCGCAGCATGCGATCGCTGGGCGCTGCTGATGACGCTTTGCTGGCATGACTCTTGCTGGCGCTGCTAGGGGGTTGCCTTTGCAACACCGCAGCCGCCCTTCTGCCGTCCATATGCTACAGCTGGCGCTGCTATTACGTCAATCATCAGCAAGCTCAATCCTCATGGCGACATCGCAACCCCTTTGCTCACACTCTCCAGGGGGCGGTACTGCGTGGTCTCCCAGCCATCACCAGCCTTCACACCAGCTGTCACAGCAGCAACAGCAGCAGCAGCAGTTGCAGCAGCAACAGCAGCAGCAGCAACAGCAGCAACAGCAACAGCAGCAGCAGCAGTTCCATCCAACATGCAGCGGCATCAGCGGCCACATGAATGCTGGCGTCAGCCAAGCCAACTCAACGCAGGCCCCATCCCTGGCAAGGACGTCTGGTGGTGGTGCTGCATTTGCTGGCAGCCTCCACCGCTGCGCGTCAGCACCCCAGCTTCAGGCCCTCGCAACTTTGGCGGATTCTGCAGCTACCAACAGCAGCGGTGGCGTGTTGCCGCTGGCGCAGCCCTCTGCCGTGCTCTCCCATCAGGTATGGGGTGGTGAGCTGTGTGCGCGTGAGCACGTGTAGATGTCACTGTTGCAATGTTGCCGTGTGTGTGTGACCATTGAAGTATGCAGCACCAGCTGCTGGGTTAGGCTCGTAGGCCGCGCAGTATCTGATGCCCCAACCACCTTGCGCTGACTTGCCGCTTTGGAACTCCTGGCTGTCCTCGTCCCCGCGACCTCCTGCAGCACCATTGGCTGATGATGTAAAGGGCTACGCGGAGTGGTGGATCGCGCCGCCGAACTTTCCGCAAGCAATCACAAGGGCCCCTGTGTGCGCAGCATCGCTTGGAGCAACTCACAATTCTTGCTGCTCAAGCCCTCCACCTGTGTACTCTTTTGGCACTGCCAGCACGCCCGGCCAGTTACCCTACCACCAAGGGTGGCGCCTGTAGGCACCCGCGTCACATAAGCAACCGCCGCTGATTCCGGATCCGAGCATTCTGGCGATAGGCGGCGGCCCTGTGAGCCGCCCTGTCGCCTCGAGTGCTCGTGTGCAGCTGGTGTGCAGCCGAAGTGCGCTTCGGCGGCGCCTGCAGCGCCTCGCTTCCCACCTTTCCGTGATGTGTCACGCGGCACGGCTGTTGCCTGCGCGCCAGTGGCTGTGCACCAAACCAGTTTGTGGTATGCTGTTCGCATCTCACCTGCGGCCGACACCGCGCTGCCATGATCCAACGGCAGTGGCTGCTTCTGCAGGCGCAGGCATGGTCGAGGGTGCTTGTGCTTTGGCTTTCCTGTGTCTGCGTTGTGCATGCAATACGTGCGCTGTTGGTCCGATCATCTCGTGTTGATTATGGAACCTTCTGCGTGCCCGTGTATGTGAGGTCGTATGCTGCGGCGCCAACAATGGGAGCGCAGGGCAGCTTCCCTTTGGCCGCTCTGCGGTGCGCTTGCGCAGCTGCATTACATAACATGTGTTCTTTGATCTACCTCCCCTCCTCAACCTCCTCCACCCACCGTCCTAGCTTATGCACCAGCAAAGGCCTCGTGCGTCAACTTCAATACGCCCACACGTTTGCATAGCTCTTCCTTGGATGACCATTGCAAGGCTCTAGCTTATTTTTTTTGACCAGGCTTTTGGCGCTGCTCCTGCTCTCTTCAGGCCTGCATCACCGCAGGCTCATCAGGCCTTGCGTTTGCGCAGGCTCTTCTCGCACACAGCGTGCGCATGCACGTCCTCACTAGCATTTGCAGGTGGGCTCTTGCCAACCTGCCAATGCACACGTGACGGGCGCATGAGCATCCTTTTTGTGGCCTTATTGTGGGCTCATGTGGCGGAAGTGGTAGGGCATGTGCAACGGAAAGCCAGCCATTGGCATCGCATCGGCATCACCTGCAGCAAAGCAAGCCGAATGCACTGTGCCAGCGCCGCCACCCCCTGGATGGCCAGCGCGGTCTGGTTGGCCAGCGCTTCGTCTCAAGCATGCAATATCCCTCCTCCCAACCACTGAGCATGGGCGACATCGCTGCTGCGTCAAGGTCCAGTGCGTATACGCCCAGAAAACCTTTTGGTGGCTGGGCGTTGATTGAAGAGTGCCTGTGTGTAACTTGCACCGCTGTGGTCCCTGGGCGGCTGTCACGGAATTTGATGTCAGTATCTGATTGCCAAGCGGTCTTTACCAGCTGGGCAAGTATGGCGTGACCCTTCAAATCACCCTCACCCGGGCGGGTAAGTCGGCCTGAATCGAAACAGCGAGCTGCCCTGACTCGGGCTGCCGACATAGGTGAGCGCGCATGAACACGCAGGGGTGGCCACGTACAGACGTGGGGACGCTTGGCCGTCACACTAGTGATACGTGCCCTTTCTATTAGTGTGAAGATGGGTTCTCCAACCAATAACTCATCTCATCATGCTGGCATTCATCAATCCACTGATCATGGCTCGGCTGAGCACGCGATGATCATTGATTAGCTGTAACTGGCGCCAAATGCCGCCCAAGCCCTGCAAGACGCGACCCTGAGCGGCGTACAGTCTTCCCCCACTACAGTGAACCCATCGGGGGTCGGCGGCACGTTCGCTATAGCCGGCTTGTTCGCTATCATGAATAATGAAATTGGGCAGCTGCTGGTTCGCTGTGGCGGGGGACGCCACAAAATCCAGCATTTGAGGGCTGCTTTGCACTGTATGCCCACAGCCACAAACTACGCAAAAAACGTTTACCACAACCAGCTCAATGGGGCCAAAGGGATGGTAGGGGGGTACGGTGCGTACGCAGGAGCTGGTGGCTGCCTGCACGCACGTGGCCTACACATGACGGGTGGGCCCCATGCAGTCCCACAGGTGCCGACCACAGCGCGCCTGCATACAGTGAATATGAGAAGCCTTTGGCGTTCGCTATAGCCGTAGTGAATATCCACTGTGGCGGGGTGAATCTGTGTGGCGAGCGATCGGGGGTAGCGGCGGCGTTCGCTGTAGGCAGGGTTTTCGCTATTGCGGGGTTCGCTGTAGCGGGGGAAGACTGTACCTGCCCCAGACTCGCACCCAAGCACGTCTGACAACTAAGGTCTCCCAGCTCGAACAAGCTCAAGTTCGATCGCCACGGCCATGGCTGTGCTTTGCCACCACCACTTGAGGCCCGCACTTGCACTCACAGAAGTGCCATACCGTGTTGGGCTGCTTACACATTGGAGATTCGTGCAATCATCATCGCCAGCTCAAGTGGCCTGCATGTGAACTGCTAATTTTCGTTTCCAGCCAGGCTGCCCTGCGAAGAGAGGATCGCCTGGGTACCTGACAAGTGAAGGTTTTGCCAGTCGGAACATTGACCTGTCAGCGCAGGGGAGCGTGCGTGTGACTCCTGTCTCAACCCTGGGCCCCACAACAGTTTAATTCCGTACTGCACTTTCACAATTCTGTTTGAGCTCGCACAGGGCAGCCATTTGCACAAAATTGTATGCGAGCAACATGGGGATTTCCCAGCTGCGCGGCCGCATTTACACAAACAGCAGGCAAACACATGGCGGACAATGGAGGTTTGCTGCTCCAGGCAGGCCAGAGGAACAACAGATAAAGCAGCAGTCAACGGTATGTAACCATACCTAGCATGCCCCGGAGCCTGGCGATCATGCCGCACACACTTCTTGGGCGGGCAAGGGCCTAGCTGCGTGAGCGAAAACAGACAACTGGACGACGTGACTCCGCCCTGCCGGCTCGAGCTGCGCAAATACGGGAGAGTGTAGCAATACGGTAGGACGAACCACAATACCTCATACAAACCTCCCAGTGCAGTCCACGTCATGAAATCGGTACAGTTCTTGGGTGGCCGACTCGGCATCAGGCATCTGCGCCAATGCATTGAATATGTGAGATAATAACTTGGTTCAAAACATCCAAAACGTGTTGCGGGGCTTCCTTGCCCTCATAGCTGAGCATTGCGATCTGAGCACGGTGCCATTGCCTTAGATACCGCTGATGATGGGTGCAAGAAACCATATGAAGGTGTATCAATAGCCTGCCGCCATGACAGTGTAGTCGTCTGCAAACGATGATCTTAGGCGAGGCGTCCGCGCAGGCCTGCTGGCCAGCACGCTTTGATTCGAAGATATCAAAGTCTAGGAGCTGTGCAGCACCTGTTGGCCCGCGGGGGACGCTCCCGATCCAAACAAGGTCGTCCGCAAGGTCGCGGTGCAGCTTCCAGCGGCCGTGGCGTAGAAAATACAGCCCTTTTGTCAGCGTAGATGCTTCTGCCAATGAGGTGCGTGCGCCAGACCCAGCAACGCAGTGCGGGACCCTGTGCTGCGCACGCGTATGAGCTTGGCCGCCGCTGCAGTCACCATTGTCTTTCCTCCGCCAGCAGCGACTGACATGTTGATGTGAAGTGGGCCAAACAACTATGCCATTGCTTTGCAATATATCACGTGCCCGTCCAACAGGCCGTGTCTGAGCCAGATGAAGTGACAGCAGCGGCCTCGGCGGTACGCCCACCGGCTTCGGGCCCTGGGCCCCAGCCTGAAGCCTCCACCAGCGGCCAGGATGGCAGCGGCGACAAAACCCGTTTGGTGGAGATGGGGCAGCAGCAGAGGCCAATCGATCGCCTTCCTCGGGAGATGGTGAGCAGGCTGAGATTTTGCTTGTTACATTCTGTTGTGGTTGGCAACCGCGAGCAGCTTTCATACCAGCTGTTTCAGCCTCAGCCATTCAGGGTGCGTAACCAACACGTTGGCGCTGCAACAGGCTGCTATGGGGTGGGACCTTGCCAGCAGCACCCCTCATCAGCTGCGTTCAGCTGCGGCAGCGAAACCTCGTCTGGCTTTCCCCAACGCCCTTGATGTTGGACTCGCCTGGGTTTTGCCCTCTGCCTAGCATCTGCAAACTCTCCTTGTCCACTCAACTACGCACCCCGCAGTTGGCTGCCATGGCCCTCTCCCCCCTGGCGGCGCTCTCCCTGCCGCTGGCCACCTCCCCAGACTGGCAGGCCGGCGCCGCGTCATTCGCGGACTGCGTGAGGGCGTCGCTGACGTCGGACGGTGCCGGGAAGTGGTGGCGCGGCTTGGATGAGAGGATGACGTTCATGGAGTGGACGTGGGACGCGTTTGGCGTCGACCTGTCATACGTATGGGACCCCGACCTGTGGATGAAGCTGAAGACGGCAGTCAGGTGGGGAGGGGCTTCCTGAGCTTGCCAAGAAGGATGGGTTCCATGAGTGGAGGGCTGAAGTTGGGCGGGGAAAAGGGCAGGTGCACCGGCTGTTGGTAGTGCATGTTGCAGGCGTGTGTATGTATTGAGATGGAGCAGCCGTACTGGCCAAGCTTGACCGACTTTCATCTTGTCTCGTGTCATGTACTGCTGTGCATGATGCGGGGCCGCCGCTGCCCATGCTGGCACGACTGGCTCCACAGCACAACCAGCCGGCACCACCTGCACGTCCAAGCGCATATGAGTTGTGTATAGGCGCGCGGCCGTCCTGCAAGAGCCAGCCTTGCATGCACAACCTGACGCACTGGCATCTATGGTATGCACACCTGTCGCGCACCACATTTCACCCCGTTTCGTACCAATAAATTCTCCTCTCAACCCTGCAAGCATGGACGAGCCGCTGGTGTTTTGGAACGCGCTGTGGGACCGCATTGAGTTCCGCAGCAAGGTGCCGGATGCCGGCTTTGCGGGCGACATGCGCATCAGCTATGCCAAGTTTCTGCAGGTGGGGCTTTTGAGGGGCGGGCGTGCTGCTTGTACCCTGTGAGTTGCTGGGAAGAAGCGCGCACAAGCAGCGTGTTCATTTTTGCAGGGGTGTGCGTCTTGCTTGGTTGGGGGCTTGAGTCGTGTAAGTTGACGTGGTGTTGACACCGTGTGGTCTTGCGGCCCCCCTCACCCCAGCACCTTGCTTCTCGCATCCTTCCCGAGCTTCCAATATAGCTAACACCCTGCTGGTCTTGTGACGCTCTTGCCACACTTGATCTCGCCCCTCACACCACCCCACCTAGCTGATGGAGTCGCACCGCGTGAAGCGGCTGATCGTGTACGGCGACATGCGTACAGCTGTGGTAGAGGTGCCGCACCCCTGGACCACCAGCATGAGCGGGGACGACAGGTTAGCTGGCGGCGGGGGGTGAGGG